GTAGTTAAGAAAGGCGATGGGCGGTGGGGCCCAGCCGTGCGCGGCCGACTGAGCACTCACTCTCCAGTGTGGCCGGGCCGGCGATCGGCTTCCTCGGGGACCTGGCGGTCGGCTTCCCCGGGGACCTGGTGGTCAGCTTCCCTGGGGACCTGGCAGTCGGCTTCCCCGGGGACCTGCTGGTCGGCTTCCCCGGGGACCTGGCGGTCAGCTTGCCCTGGGATCTGGCATTCAGCTTCCCCGGGGACCTGCCGGTCGGCTTGCCCTGGGATCTGGCATTCAGCTTCCCTGGGGACCTGGCGGTCAGCTTCCCCGGGGACCTGGCTTACACCAGACTGGGCTCCTCCCGCCTGAAACCCCGGATGGGCCGCAGTCCTGTGCTAAGGGAGTGTCCAGGTCCTTCTGATGCCGGCAGTTAGAGACCCACTGAGGCGTAAGCAAAAGAGCCTCGGAGGGTTGCAAGAAGGGAGTCTTACCACGTTCCCACATTGATCACCACGAAGTCAGGACAGTGGGAGATGACGAGAGAGCTGGAAAGAACGTTCCAGGTGATTCAGTAACGGTCCAGGTGACTTAGCAGACAAGGGAACAGGCGGTGGGAACAGGCTCGCCGGAGACCCACACCTAACCTGGGACAAGGCAGGTCAGGGAGCTGGGGCTCAGCGTCCCCACCCTATGCTGGCGTTGGGGTGCACAACGCGCCCGCCGCCCGGGGAGGGGAGCAGCCCGGCAGGAGCCTTCCACGCCTTTCTACCTGGGCAAACGGGGCAGATAGAGTAAATCAGGCATCTGACGGAGGACTTCGCGGCTCGGTTTCCATGCCGATGAGATCATTTCTTTCAACACCGCAGTATTTTAAGAACATTTTTCATGCGGAATTCAGATTCAAACTCCATCTGTCGGAGCACTCTCGCCATGATAGGTGCATGCGGAAGGCGGGCAGAGGCGTCTCCCTGTGCCCCGCCTGGGGCCTCAGCCCCGACCCCCGCGTTTCCGTCCCACAGACCGGGCTCTCGGGGAACCTGATCCTGCTGTCGGTGCTGTACAAGGGCGGCCTGCTGATGGGCAGCGCCCACATGACGGTGGGCGAGCTCTCTTCCTTCCTCATGTACGCTTTCTGGGTCGGCCTGAGCATCGCAGGTACGTGGCCCACGGCTCGGGGCTGTGGGGGGAAGGCGGCTTCTAGCTTCCGGGGTGCAGACCTGGCCTCCCACCGCCTCTCATCCAGTAGCTTCTGTGCAAAAGCCATTTCCAGGGCGTCACCCCAGCCTGACTGAAGGGAAAGCCAGTGGCGGTTCCACGGCGTGGCGTCCGGTCTGTGCTCTGGACCGCGGGCTCTAGGAGGCCTCTCGTCACTGAGCTCGGGTCACTCAGGAGTGGCATTTCCTGACCTGCTGTCAGGACGCTGCGCCTCGCGCCCCCTTCCGCCCCGGAGTGACCGCAGGGCCAAGAAGCCAGGCCGAGCGGGGAGGCTTGGGAGACCGCCATGGGTTGGGCAGCTCACTGGGGGAGGACGCGGCTTCTGCACGGAGTCCCCCTGACCACAGCCAGGGGGCCGCCAGAGAGGACAAACCAGAAAGTGCCCCGGCCTAGTAAAAGTTGAATTTTTCAGTGCCCGAGAGGGAGGTTTGATTCCTGTCAGTATGAATTTAAAGTGAACATTGGGGTGTTTTATATTCCTGCTACGTGTGGGGTGAGCGTGATCTTTTACTTATTTATGTTGCCACATTTTCGACTCGGGCTTTCTCTGGAGCACGGCGACTGCACTTCCGGCCAGGCCGTAAGGCCACGATCAGACGACCCCCTGGGAGAAGCGGGTGGGCGAGGGGCTCTGAACCCGCTCCCCACGGCGGCCTCGGGTCCTCTTTCGGAAGGGACAGTTTTATGTTAAAGGTGTCGCTGTCCCCGGTGGTTGCCCAGCGCCGGTGACGACGTCCGCTTCTCGCCCACAGGTCTGAGCTCTTTCTACTCCGAGCTGATGAGAGGCCTGGGCGCTGGCGGCCGCCTGTGGGAGATCCTGGAGAGACGGCCCGAGCTGCCGTTGGACGGTGGGTCCGCTGTGGGTGTCCCTCTGCTGCTTGGGACCGTCAGGCCAGCTCCCTGTTCTGCCTGTGATGGATGAGTGTGACAAGGACGTCTCCGCTGCCCTGCCACGTGGCCTGGAAAGGGTCCTCAGAGGGGCCGGCAGCGAGAGAGGGGGGACAGTCCCTGGAAGCACAGGGCTGACCACGTGGGGCACCTCCCAGCAGGGGATTCGTCCCCACCCACAGCAGGGTGGCCTGGAGGGCGGCCTCCCTGGTGACTCCGGGGCGGTGGCAGAGGAGAGGCGCGGCCATCACAGTGCAGAGGCCTCTAGACTCAGCCTGGGTGGGCGGGGCTGGCGGCGGCTACATCGCGGGTCCAGAGCCACCCGCTGCCTCCCTGGTGCTGGGGACAGAGCCCTGAGCGTCCCCACCCTCACCGGCCCCAGGGCTGCAGGGCACAGCATGCCTCCCGGGTGGGTGGCAGGTGATCCCAGGGCGGCAGGGACCTCTGGCCCCTCTGGCTCGGGCTGCTGTGCCGCGTGCCCGTCCGTCGTCGCTCTGATAGCCCCGGTTCCAGCCGGTTAGATGACC